GACACGCTAACTAATAACTCCACGTTGCGTGTACGGTGTATTTGTATATCAACTTGTGGGACGAATTGACTTTGGGACGAATTAACTTGTGGGACGAATCGACTTGAAACGAATCGACTTGTGGGACGAATGTGATTTGGGACGAATTGACCGTCCCCCGTGGAATCATAGCCCTGTGTTGCCGACCGTATTATTTACGTGACTGACTCTGGCTGGCTCATATGTTCGACGTACAACAACAAAATTAAAAAAAAGACTTCCAAATGAAATTGTTAGGGCAAAATTTGATTGTAGGTCCCACCAAAGAGCTATGGAACCGCAGCTAGGTGGCTACCACCAAAAACACGTCTTTCTGTTGTGAAATATTTGTCAATGTACCCTCACCCCTCACCCTAACTTTCCAGCCCACCTCAAATCAGTTGTATATGCGCCTCTAGTATATGTGTCCTCAAGAGGGACATATACAATTAATTTGAGGGGCGAGGGTAGGGTTCGGGTTAGAGTTAGGATTAGAGGTACATTGAAAATCTTTCCAGCAATGTCTGCTTCATATGGAATAAAAATTGATCATCAATTGAACGAATGGTCGTTAGGAGATAGGCATTGGAAATCATGGGGGTGTGACCAATGTACATGTTTCTCCTGCAACACTGTGCGTGCGTTTTTTTTCTCGGTGTCAAATTTTCAAAAATAATATTCTCATTTCTTCTTAATTTCAAATGATCGACCCCTTATGAGCAATTTCAATGTGCTCACTCACCTCGAATATTTTCTATGTACAAAAATAACATGATCACAAGACCCTACAAAACAATTTTCTCCACAGCTTTGCACCATATTCATGCCCACTTTTCAGGTGGTGTTTATAAAAGAAAAACAAACCAATAAACTTAAATACAAGCTATTTAATACGAGTTATTCAAATTAGCATCTAATAATACAGGAACAATGACAAATTTGCATACTATATTTAGCAACATTTTAACAAGACATCGTTTAGCAACTATCAT